ATTGGACAAGATGGAAGAAATAGATAAATTCCTAGAAACACACAATCTTCCAAGACTAATTCAAAGAAACAGAAAATCTAAACAGACCAATAACAACCAAAGATATCGAATAAATAATCAAAAAATTCCCAGCAAACAAAAGTCCTGGACCAAATTGCTTCACAGATGAATTTTACCAAACACTCAAAGAAGACTTAACACCTATCCTTCTCAAACTATTCCAAAAAATTGAAGACAAAGGCTCCCGAACTTATTTTACAAGGCTAACATTACCCTGATTCTAAAACCATCAAAGGCACTACTTAAAAAAGAAAATTATAGACCAATATCCCTGATGAGCATAAATATAAAATCCTCAAAATATGAGCAAACCAAAGTCAGCAATACATTAAAAAGATCATATACCATGATCAAGTGGAACTTACTCCTGACATGCAAGGCTGGTTCAATACCTGCAAATCAATCAACACGATGTACTGCATCAACAAAATGAAGGATAAAAATCATATGATCATATCGATAGATACAGAAAAAGCATTTGACAAAATCCAGCATCCATTTGTGATGGAAATTCCAAAATATATAAGGAACTCATACAACTTAAAACCAAAAAACAAACAAATAGTCCAACTGAATGGGGAGTGGATCTGAATGGACATTTCTCCAGAGAGGTCATGCAGCTGGCCAACTGACAAATGAAAAGATGCTCAACATTGCTGGTCACCAGGGAGGTGCAAATTAAAACCACGATGAGATGTTACCTCACGCCTGTTGGAATGGCTATCATAAATAAATCTACAGACAACAGGTGTTGGCAAGGATGTGGAGAGGGGGAGTCCTCATGCACTATTGGTGGGATTGTAAATTGGTACAGCCACTGTGGAGAACAGTATGGAGGTTCCTCAAAGAGCTGAAAATAGAACTACCATATGGCCCACCAATTCCACTTCTGGGTATTTATCCAAAGAAACCCAAACCATTAATTTGAAAAGACATGTGCATCCCTATGTTCACTGCAGCATTGTTTCCAATGGCCAAGATACAGAAAAGACCTGGGTGTCCATTGATAGACAGGTGGGTAAAGAAGATGTGGTACATAAGCAGTGGAATATTGCTCAGCCATTAAAAAAGAATGAAATCTTGCCATTTGTGACGACATGAATGGACCTAGAAAGTATTAAGTGAAACGGTCAGAGAGAGAAAGACAAATGCCATATGATTACACTTATATGTGGAATCTGAAGAACAAAATAGAAGAACAAACAAAACAGAAACAAACTCATTGATACAGAGAACTGATGGTTGTCAGATGAGAGGCGGGTTGGAGGGATGGGTAAGGAAGGAAGAGGAATTGAGACATACAAAATGCCAGTTGTAAGAGCAGACATGGGAATATAGAATACAGCATGGGCAGTACAGTTAATAGTATTGTGATGGCTACATGTGGTATCAGATGGGTGCTAGACTTGTCGGGGTGATCACTTCATAAATTATATAGATGTCTGGTCACTACGTTGTATACCTGAAGCTGATGCGGTATTGTGTGCCAGCTGCAGTTGTAAAACAATTTTTTTAAATATGAAAGAAAAGAAATTGTGGTATATATGTACAATAGGATATTACTCAGCCATAAAAATAATCAAATCTTGCCATTTGTGACAACATGGATGGACCTCAGGGGCATTACACTTAATGAAATAAGTCAAAGAAAGGCAAATATCATTTGATCTTTATTCTATGTGGAATCTAAAAGAAAAAAAACAAGCTCATAGACACAGAGAACAAATTGGTAGCTGCAAGAGACAGGGGTTGGGGAGATAAAAGGGTGAACTTTTGGAGGGTAAATAAGCTGAATTAAAATTTTTTTTAAATAGATAAATAGTATGGTAGAAAACTTGGGAGTGAAGATTAAAGGGTTTACAATAAAACTTTTCTTTTTCTTTCAGCCTTTGAAAACTTTTCAAAAGTTAATTTTTATTATATAATGTTTAACACATGCACAAAAATATGTGGTATATGTAGTTATAAAGCATAATGCTAAAATGAATAAACACATTTATAGATGTATAGAATTATTTTTCTGATCATAGTTGGTAAAAATTTATATTGTTCACCAACTATAACCATCTTTAACTGGAACTAATGATATGCTGGGAGGAAGGAGTGGAGGAGTGGGGTAATCCATATAATTTAGAGATATAAAAGACAGAAACTGGATTAGAAAATCACATACACGCGTGCGCGCGCGCGCGCGCGCACACACACACACACACACACACACACACGCACCTCTTTGTAAAACCTGACTTCACTTAAAAATAATCTAGAGAAGTGTTCGAAATACCTGAAACAAGTATGTTTAGCAGTAGGTGAATTCAAGACACACACATGGCCTATTCCTGTAAAGAATATCCACAGTAACTCACTCAACGGGTCAACTAAAAAAGTTCACTTTCCCCTTAGAGGTAGAAGCACAACATCAATATCAAAATTAGAGGCTCTAAGATAACCGCAGCGGGTACAAAGGCAGAGGAACATCAGTGACTTCCTCAATCTGAGGAGCTCCGTGTTTCTGTAAGTCAAGGTACCACCTCTAAACCCTAGGAACTTTACAAAACGTCAGAGGCTTTCTGCAACTGATTTGATTCTCTCCTAAATTAGTTATGCTAATTTCAGATCAATGTACCTTGGGGTCTTGGTGTTTTCCACAATTCTAGGGCTCAATGAAAAAAAAAATCGTATTCAAGTATTTCTCCTCTCTCACAGCCATTTGCCACATCCACCGCCCCGCCTCGGTTTTTGCATAGGTATCGCAAATCATTAATCAAGGAAGAATGGCTGACATTCACACTGGAGGCACTTAATGAAGAGGACAAGAAAGGAGCAGCTTAATTCCTGATATCACAGGGCCCATCTCAAAGATAAAAGCTTTCCCTCCCTTCCCCACCCTATCCCTAGTTTCTGTGAAACCCTGAAGCCTCTCCAATGATGAAGACCCAGAGTGCTGACATGATCTCAAATACTACGGCATCATTTCAATAAGACGCCAAGGAGAAAGGCTGGCACGTTCCTACGCTCAGGTGATTGTAGGTCAGCAGACACGCCCTTCCTCTAACCCTTCACAAAGCAAAGATCACAATCAATTTCAAAAGTAAAGATACCCCAGCGACCCACTCCTGAGAGGTTGACAACTTCAAGCTCTAGAAAAGGGAAGACAGCGCACAACCTAATACACACCCAGGTAGCATTAGAAGCCAAAGTAGATGGTACTCGGAGCACCAGAGTGCTTGTAGTTTGAGCATCCATTTTTCCAGGACCTCATCCCTACCTTCCTATCTTTAGCTGTGTCTTGGACAACGCCAACACTTCATTCAGCTCATTTCTCCCTCACTTTCTGGAAGTAACCGGAGACACAGGGATTTTAGATCAACTCCCTTCCCCAAGTCACTTAGGCTCTTCACGGGCAGCAAAAATCCAAGTTTCCCCAGGCGGCACTGAAGCCCCAACTTCTGGAAACGCCCCCTTACCTCGCCTCCACGAGCTGGCATAGCGGCAACAGCAGAGCACGCAGCCGCAGGCGCTGCTGCTGTCGCCGCCGCAGCCAAGGCGGCAATAGGAGGCTCCGGCTGGTTTGGGGCCCCGGGGCGACCGCAAGCCAGGCCTTGACCCGCGAACCCGGGAGCCTCTTCTCCCAAAGGGAGTGAGCTCACGCGCCCCGCGGAGCGCCGTGGCGAACCCCGGCGCCCGGGAAACGCTCTGCACCGGGCGCCCAGCCGGGAGACGCCGCCAAGCGCTCGGCTCCGGCGGAGCGCCGGGGCAGCGGGGGCGGCGAGGAGGGGGGCGTGTTCCCTGCGCCTCCGAACCCGAACGCCGCGTCTCGGCGGGACGGAGGCGAAGGAGGCGAGCGGGGCGCGCGGTCCCTGACGGCGGTTCTGGGCCCTCAACCCGGGCTGGACCGGCCTGGCGACGCGCTGCAGCCCGCGCGCCCTTGCGGGGACAACCGCCTGGCTCGCCCTGCGCGACCGCCTTCTCGCCAAACTTTCCGGGCGAAAACCGCTCCTGCCTTATCTGCGGGGGCGCCGCACTATCCCCGGGGCCCAGAAACTGTCCGCCCCCTTCCCTCCGCAGCCGAGACCCACTAAAAATATGGCGCCCTCGAACGTCGTTTCTCGGCCCCCTCAAGGAATCCCGAAATGCCGGTCTCCAGGACCCCTGGCTCCAGTGGGCGCGAAATTTCAGCTCGTGGGGCCGATGAAGGAGAGAGCGCCGCTCGCCCAGTGCGACACTGATTCCAAATTCAGCGGCATTGAATCCAAATCCTGCTCTCGCTCTCCGTCAGGCGCTGCCCGCGTCCCTCAGCGGCCAGTAGTTTGCTGGTGGCAAAATTGCCAAGTAAAGAGAAGTCGTGGAGTCGGCAAGTCTGAGAGTCCGGGACTGGAGAAGGAGCTCTGCACCCGCCGGCTGTCTTTGCCGGGAGCCTCGGCCGGAGACTTGTTTGCAAAGTGCCGCTGGAGTCGGGGCGGCCAGTGCTGGAATGAAGCCGCTCCGCCCGCGCCAAGTCTCCTGGAGCGGGGGCCCGGCCGGGGACAAGGGGACACTCCAGGCAGGCGAGGCTGCTTTTCCAAGCCCAGTTACCGGAAACCCAGCAGGAGCCCCGGAGGGAACAGGCTGCCCACCCCCAGGAATCCGCTTTCGGGCGCCGGCTGCGAGGCTGTTTGGAAACCGCTGCACCCGGGTCGAGTGCAGTGAAACATACATGTGCAATAGACAGGTGCATTAATTTTCTTTTATTTTTATTTTCCTGCAAAAATCCCTCCGAGAACATCCAATCTGGGAGCTTTGCGGGTTTTTTTCTGCATTGGCATCACTCACGAGATGCAAAAGGGAAGAAAAAAACCACCCACATTTTCCTTCTGTCGGGAGGGATAAGACACGAGAAATTCATGCAACGTGCATGCAGCTGGAGAGAGAGGAAAACCCGAGTGAGCCGTGCGCCTTACCAGGGGATGCATTTACTGTCTCATTGCAGAGCGCCTGCCCGGGAGTGCAGCTGGCCTCCCCCCCGTGCGCCCGGCGACCGCTCAGCTCCCGCAGCCGCCTCAGCCGCTGCAGCCGCCGCTGGCTCCAGGCGCGGAACAAGAGCCGAGGGCGAGCGCGAGCGCACGGCCCGCGAGCGCAGGGAGGGCAGGAAGCGCGTCATCACTCGGGGACGGTGTGGCCCCGCGCGGCTCCGGTTCGGCGGCGGCGCGGCGCGGCACCGCAGCTGGGCCAGCACCGGCACCTGTGGACCCTTTCTGGGTCTCTACTCCTGGCCGGGAGCTGGGAGCGTTCGCGAGGAAGGCGACGCGCTGGCCGAGCTGTTGGTAGGGAGTAGGGGGCGCAGGGTGACCCGAGCTCCCCAAAATTCGGGCTCTGCTGTGTAAGAGAGATTGGGTTGCGTTGGAGGGGACGCGGCATCTTGTGGAAAGGGGCCCCTGAGTTCGCAGTGCGCTTCCTGCGACCACTGTCCAAGCCCTGGAGGAAGCGAAGTGTGCTCTAACAAGAGGACCTTGGCGGGCTGTGAGATTTTGCAGCGATGCCTCTGGCGGGAACTGGTGGCAGGACTGTCTCTCTCTGCACGTGTTGCACACGCGGACACCGAAAATGCTGGTCAGAGGTCGCTTAGGTTTTTTGAGAAAGGCTTTAGGGATAGGGCATGTACGCTATTAAATTAATAAGAAAACATGTTCTACTTACTGTGCCTTTGAATAAAGCCGTTTATATACCTCTTAAATTTACAGAATCTTTAGGAAATGTAGGATGACAGAACAATGTGAAGGTTATTAACGGAGCGAGAAGACACAAATCACAAAACATTATGTACCACATGGTCCCATTTTTAAAACTATGATGTACAGAGAGAGGCAGAAAAAAAATGGACAGATGCACACCAAGATATTAACTGGGTCCCTCAGTAGTAGGTGGAATTATGGGTTATTTTTCTTTTTTTCTTTTTGGTTCTAGTTACTGGTTTTTCTGTAAGGGACACATTACTTTTGTAATTTCAAAATATAAGTTTTTATATAAGAAAAGACCTGGTTTTTTTCCCCATCCCAATACAAAATGACCAAGATAGACCCCTCTTCCTAAGAAATAGGTAGCAAATCTTTTCAGTTACTCATAAATGACACTACTGCAATTTTGTAATATTTCTCAGAGCACAAAACTGCTGTCACTATAAACTGGAGAGTGACTTGATTTTGTAAATTGAAACTGTCTTGAAGAAGTCCATTGGGACATTGGATAAGGCTGAACATTCTTTAAGAACTATTAGCATGTTTAAGAACAATTAGTATGTTTAAGAACAATCCAGGCTGAAGAACTTGATTTTATTATGACCACAGAGATCTTTATAAGTTAGAATGCAGCTTTGTAACTTATTGCAGAGGATAAACTTTACAAATCAAAAGCCCAGTCAGAGAACCAATTAATTGGCAACTTTAGAAAGTACGAAAAGTTGTAGGAGATAGACTGTTTCTAATTGCACAGGTAAAATGTTTCTGCTCACCACAGCTTTTTAAACATTCATCAGTCTAACAGAATAACTGGTGGTGGCAGAAAGTCACCTTGAGGGATGGTTAAAAAGTGAATGTTTATGGATTACTGTAAGAGATTGGTAATAAGCTCATTAAATTAATGCCACCTAAATTATCACCTGGTTTACTGACAAAGAGCAACCGTATTCTTATAGTTCAAATGCCAGGTTTATACAAGAAGCTCATCAAAACAGAAAAATCAATTACAACTAAAATCATTTTTCCCTTCCACTAAGTCCTTGCTTCACAGGGCCCATCAAGCATCTCAAAATCAGTTCTTTCTTCCCAACTTGGATTTCAAGATTTTCTGTCACTTAATTGACCCTTCTCAAAGTATCCCCATGCTCTTCCACCGCCTACCAATGAGATGTTGTTTAATGTTAGAAGGTCGATTCCACGACAGCAAGGATCTTATCTGCATCTCCCTGCCTAAAAGAGGGCCTGGCACATAGTGGGTGCTCAATAAATATTCATTTCATAAAAATAGTATATTTGTTCACTTGCTACTTAGCTAGTACCCTGAGATATTTGAAAAGTTCTCTCTTCTTTAGCCTGTCAGTGTAATCCTGGGATGCTAAGAGCTTGCAGAGTTATAGCTCTGGTTTAATCCAGTAATTTTATTCTTTTCAAAATAGCAAAATCCTAAGATATTCAGAGCATCGAGGTGCAGGTGTCTTAATATCTGTGCATTACTAATCTAATTAGCATTATGTTGTGGCTCTCTGAGATCAGTCAAACCCTTTTCTTCAGTGAAAAAGAACATCAATCTTAGAACTCTTTGCTTTAGTCTTGGATTCTAACCAACTGACTTTGAACATTTCACTTATTTTTATTATGCCTCAGTTTCTCTAAACCCTCTTATAACCATTTACTGTTTCTTCAGAAAAACCAACTCTAACCATTTCACTGCCCAGCAGTACATTTTTAAATAACTTTCCCAATAGAAGTAAAATTGATTTTACCAGTAACCCACAGTATATGCTCTGAAATTGAGACTCCTCTCATATGCCTGAAAAGATAGTTATTTCTAAATTTAGAGTTGGCTCCTAGTAGTCTCTCACTATGATCATGGTTCATTGTAGAGCAGCAAAAACTCTGACTTTTTTTAACAAGTTCACATTCTTGGGCTTTGTTTGTACCCAGCAGAGAAAAATATTATAGCAGTTTATCCTGAGTATCTAAGACCTAACGTAAAACTCATTTCATCTAAGCAATTTACCAAGTCTTCATATTGTCCCACGTCCTGTCTAACAAGTCATTAGGAACTCAAAATATATACGTTTTGTGTGACTAAAGAATGCAGCATTTGGGGATGTAAATCAAGTATGTATCTTCCAAGTTACCGATAAATACATCTAGAACTAAAATCTATTTAAATTACAAGCTAGGACTATAAATATCGAACCAGCTCTTGCTTGGTTTTAAAGAGCCAGATGGTAAGAAATTGCTCCCCTACCCCCATTGCACTATTAGCCTTAACCTCCTGACTTTCTGTGTGCCTACGTATATACTTGAACAAACCCAACTGTCCATATTGAGCAAAAAGCTATTCTACCAAATATTTTGTACCATTTTTGTTTATAAGATCATATTTTGTGCCTTGATATCTTCTAGAGGTTTTTTTATACACTACATCAACGGTTTATGACATTTTCCCCCTTTTGAAATTGTTTCTGTCCACTCCCTGGAGCAACGTGGATGTAGGAACCACGTTTTCTAAAAATTACCTATTACTCAAAACCAGAAACAAAAACAAGATACTTGGCTTCTATTATCATGTGACATCTTTCAGTTTACAGAAATCTCTCCATCTCTTTTCTAATTGAAGTTCTAGGAAAGAATATTACCTAATAATTATAGAGGAAATATTATCTGAGTTTCAGTACAACATATAATTAAGCTGCTTTCATTTTATTTGAAAGGCAGATATAAGACAGTTTGCAAGAATTAATTTATTTTAGTTTTTTAACTATCTCTAAGCATAGGGCTTCACCTCATTCCTAACTATTCAGGATAGAGTGATACAGATTTAAATACTTTTTTAAGAGAAAAATACTCCATGGATTCAGGAAATGATTGTTATTATTATACCCAACACAAGATATGCTTGAGATTAATTTTTCTTTTCCTATAGTATATAAAGCACATTATGGAAAGTTCTCTAAGTATCTCATAAGAAACATGCTGTCTAGAAGAATACCAATAATCATTAAGCTAAATTGGATTTATCGTTAATCCAAATCAAATGGTTGATATAAACAGTATGTGAGGCAGGATGTTTTATTTTGGTTGCTTGCTCATTGATTTGTGAAGGAGTACAGAGTACCCAACACGTAAGCTTTCTACATTCACTGTGCTTCAGTCAAACCTCTGACTGACAAATCTCTTTCTTCATTATCTATTTCACTTGGCACAGCTAAATAGATTTCTTGATGAATCAGAAAGACAGTCAAAATCAAACAAGCAGTCATCATCCTGAGGTTCCTTACTTTTATGCCTAAAGTCAAAAATAAAGCATTAGTAAATTGGTGTTAAACCCTATCATTTTGACGATGACAAGTTCCTGACTCAACTTTTTTGTCTCTAAAACCCGGCATCCACAGCAACAAGCATGAATACACGTTTATGAAATAAAATTCTCTATTGTCACTTAGCTAAATTAACTCTTTCAGCTGAATGTAGCCCACAAATGCCCAGTTTACAATCAATAAATGACCAGGGTTTGGGGTAAAATAAACCAAACTCTAGGTTTTTAAAAACTAATTTCACTTTTGTAATGTCTCCATCCTCTCTTCAAATATTTATTTGAATAGTTTCCATCCCTGTCCCCTAATCACCCAGTTCCTCTCCCTGGAGGCAAACACTTTTACCAGTTTCTTAGGTACCCTTCCAGCATATTTAATGTCTGTATGAGAATAAATATATGTTCATTTTTTTTCACAAATGGTAACATACTACTCTGCTGCTTGCTTCCTTAGTTGTTCTTTGTAGGTAGAGATCTTTTTAATTTTAACATGCTTTTTTGGAAAATTTTAAATATGTAACAAAAGTAGAGAGAAGTGTATAATACACTTCAAATACTATTACCTAATTTCAGTAATTTCAAACTGTTGCCACCTCAAACTATTCATCTAACTTTTATTGTATATACATATTTTAAAGCAAATCTCAGACATCATGTCATTTCATCCTGTACTTGCTAAACACATTCTACTCTCTAAGTCATAGGGACATTTCTTTATATATAAGTACAATGCCATTATCACACCTGATAAAATTAATAATAATTCCTTGGTATCATCTAATGCCCAGTCTATACTCAGATTTCCCTAATTGTCTTAAAAATGCCAAACATTTTTTTTTATCTAAACATCTAGCATCCTTATTGTTTCTACAGTTTTGACTTGAAGTAAAACTTCTCAACTGCCTCGTGAATGTTCCACACTCTGGATCTATGTATTAGTCTCTCGTGGAGTTGTTTAACTTGTTTATTTACTTCCCTATTTCTTATAAACTGGAAGTTGGTCTATCAACTAAATTAGGCTCAAGTTTAACTTTTGGGCAAGCATACTTCATAGCCGG